GCTGAAGACCCAGAACAGAACCATAATGGACAGCAGACAGTCAGTTCAAAGTTTTTATTTAACTGTCATAAAAGGAGAAGCAGACGATGATTCCAAACCTGTTAACCTGGGTCTAGGATTTACAGACAATATGCACCAATTCAAATTAACAAAAATCTCTCTAGGGGCAGGGCAAGGAAAAGTTAGAGGCAGAGACGTAGCTACGAGAAAACCACGTGTACTTGGTCCCAGTTCTAGTACAACCTCAGTGCGGGAGGATCCGAATAAGGGGGCTGCGGAGCTGGAACATACCTGCCCAGTCACCGGAGGGTCACAGGCCCCAGGGGGCTCCTTCGCCCCTCACTGCCGTGTCAGTGCAGCCTTGGGGGTGGCAGGCTGGAGTGCTGCGAGGGATCTGCTCTGGGCACAGGGGAGGAGGGAGTCTAGTGTCAAGGCAATAAATACTGACAGGCCAGGCACAGATTTTAAAAGGAAGAACAGATACATAAACAAGCTCTTTGTTGATCACATCAGGAGAACAGCTGCAGAAACAAACTAGTCCATCCTCAGCCCAAGAGAGCGAGGAGGGCAGGTGCTGCCCTGGTATTTCAGCGCTTTGCAGCTACTTAGGCTGCAATGAGAAATCTGAGGTGATGGCAACACTAGTGACTCCTGCACCTACCTGCCTTGCAACCCCCTCTGTGCCTTGGAGGCGCTGGGGCTGCCCAGAGAGTTCGGAGCTCTACATAAACAGGGCTAGGGGTTCTGCCAGGCCAGCTCTCTGGACACTGGAGGGATGGCTTGGGGAAGGGGTTGGGTGTCACCCAGGATGGCACATCACCCTCCCCTTTGGAGATGTCCAGTCTCGGGTGAAGAATGGACCAGCAGCAAAGCGGGAAGTTGTGAATCATTCCTAATAACCCAGGAGGGGAGTGACCGAGGTGAGTGCCATGCCAACAAACTCGGGGCAGGTGGGGGGCATTTAAAAAGTGTAACAAGGGCAGGGCCCCCTCCCTAGAGGATACATGTTACACATTAAGGCATCATGGTTACAGGGAACATCCACAAATGAAGCTGCCAGTGTTCCCAGGACACTGACTGGATGGCAGGGGCAAGGCCAGACATGATTTTAGCCAACAAACAGATTCAACGGCTGCCTGGCATCAAAGTTCCTCAGCCACTTGGGAGGCAATAGCTACCCTGAGCTGTGCACAGGAAAGTTAAGAACAGCCTCTGATCTGCTTCCTGCACAGGAGTCTCTCCCCTTCAGCACCTACCAGAATAAAGGAAGGTGAGAAGCAGCAAAGGGCCAGGGAGAGGAGCAAGCGCTCCCACCTCTGTGCTGGGACATCATGGCCCTGGGACGGGCAGCTGGAGGTCAGATGCAGACAGCATGGTTTGGTCAATTCTACTCAGTGATTCTCTGGGGAGGGGGCACATTACAAAACTGAGCTCTCTGGACAACTTAAAATGGGGAGGGGGGAGCGAAAAGGAAGGGGGTTCCAATGTCAGCACTTTGGTACAGGGAGGGGTTTCTACGGTAGCCACTGTCTGATTCGCGCTCTCTCGGGATTGGCCTTGGGAAGGGCTAGTCCTTCCAATCCTTCTTAATGGTCAGGTTCCACTCCCAGGACAGGTGGTCAGTCTTATCATCGTCTGTGAATTTGGATTTGATGTTGTAGCTGCCCCGGGCCAGCATGCCCTTAGGAGCTTCTTCCATGGGGGTCAGAAACTCGTACTCCTCTGCTCGAGGGCCATAGCTCCCAACCATGTATTCAGTCTTGTCAACTAGAAGAAGAAAAAGGTGGATGGAAACTGTTTAAGAGCCTCCCCTGCATTTAGGGCAAGGCTAAAGCATATGAAAGGTCTGTTGCTGCTACAACAATCCACAAAGACACAAAGAAGCTGTGAGAGCAAGCACATCACCTACATTAACAGCTTCACTCATTCCAGAAAGCGTTCCTTCAGCGGGCGGTGATCCTCCCACACTAGCACTGCTGTCCATGCAGAAGTGATCTGTTCACTTCTGAGCTCCAGTAGTGACTACACATCAAGCCCAGCAGTGCAGATGCAACCAGGACCGCAGGCTGTCACACTACAGCAGACCCAGAAGAGCCTTCACATTCCCACAGGCTCGAAGGCAGAGGCATGACCAGCACGCTTCCCACTAAAGACTGCCTCCTCCCATTAGGAACCGCTGGGGCACCAGTGGACAAGTCCCCATCACAGTACAGCAGAAAGCCCTCACGCAAAGCAGTACCTGAGTCACAGTGGAAGCACTTACTTTTCACTCCTTTTCGGAACGTGTGCTGAATATACTTCAACCCTGACACAATCTCCCTGTTCACCTGCAGGGAGACAAGCAAGGACTGTAGAAAAGAGAGGAATCCTATACCCAGCCCCACCCACAGTAGGAGACAATTTACTTCATCACGCCATAGTTTTGGGGGCTCAGGCTTTCCCTGTGCTGGGATTGCAACAATCAGATGTTCCAAAGTTCATTGCTTCTTCAGTTTTCAGATCTGAATTCTTACCCTAAAGGAGATTTTTATCCGGTATTCCACACCCTCTTTCAGCACAAACGCTTGCTTTTTGTAGCTCTCCAGGTCACCTGAAAAGAAGGGAGAGGATTGCTCAGAGTCCAATGGACGGATTCAACTTGCAAGGGGTCATTATGACAGTATCTGCAATAGCTCCGGACTGGACCGGAGCGTTACTGCCAGCACCACACACACAGTTTATCCTTCTATTTTTGCAAGTCAGGACCCCCCTTGCTACCTTTCCTGAGCTACCTGAGGCAGGCAGATGATACCGCATGAAAGGACTACACCATCACACAGCAATGCAGTTAACTCAAGGATGTCCCTTTGTAAACGTTTGCTCCAAGGCTGTCCCCATCTCAAAGCTGCTGCTGGTGTGGCTGTGCAGGCTGGAGGATAGCTGGCTCCCCCAACCGGCTACTTACGCATCTACAAAACTAGGGCCAGGCAACCTAGTGGAAGCAGAAAGGTCTTTTGCTGAGGTGGAGGGTACCGACACCAGCCGCTAGGCTCAAAGTACTGGAATCCTTTGGTGGCCTGGGCACCTTACCCTGTAGCTAGGAAAGGGGCATTTCTAACATACAAGAGAGCTTGCCCACCACCCCCATCAGTGCTCTTGCAGGACCTTCTGAAGAACTCTGCACCAACCCAGCTTTGACCTGGAAAAAGGACTGGTGTTCCTCGCTAGCTCACCTGTCAGGTCCAGTTCCAGAGGGCCAGGAGCAGTAGCACAGACCAAAGTTAGTTTGGTCACCACCACGTTTGGAGCATTAGGATCTAGGAGACAAACAAAAAGGCTATTAAACACCCATCCCCAGTGCCAACCCACATAGCTCCTCACTTTTCCTACCAGGGCACTTTCTGAAAAAGCAAGGAAACCAGTGAGGACAACATTCACCTCTGTGGAGGTCTGGGCTCCCCCTTTGCGTTATGTCCAGCCCATAGTCCCTCCCAGAACATCTCCCTCTAGATGGAAAGAGGACACAGCACCCTCCTGCCCAAGTCCCAGTGCTTTATTCATAGGGACAGAGATTTCAGCACTGAGGGAGCACAGACATGTGCCTTTATGCTCTTGGCTGCACTTGTGCCCAACTGCAGAGAGCTGGGAAGAGAACAGCTCCCTGACAGGAGCAGGGATAAAGCTGGAGGTCACAGATGGAGCTGCGGTTCTCGTGAGGCTCAGCCATGTCCTAGGGCTCACCTGCAGTCACAGTGACAGCACCAAGCAGCGCCTCCTTGTACTTGCGCAGACTCTCATCATCCTTGTCCAGCTCCTGGATCTCCTGGATGCTCTTCTGGGCAGGTGGCTTGTAGTTGACTGAGTGCTCATCCTCCTCATTCTCAGCTGCAATCTGGGCCAGCTGCTCTGCCGTCGGCTCCTGCTCTGCCATCTCCACAGACGCAAGTTACACTGAAGTGGGGAGGAGAAGCGTAACTGCATCTACCTCCTCCAAAAACACAGGCCTCTTCCCAGCAGCACGGCTCTTGCACAAATCGGGCATCCCCAGGACTGCTGCACCCCAACTCCATGGGCTCCCTCTCATACTTGGGCCTTCTTGGGCTGTCCCCAGAGGGACCTACAGGAGCACATGCCTGCCAAGGGCCCCTACCCTGCTGCCCACGCAAACTCCTCCAGCAGGTCAGGTCTCATATTCAGCCAATCCAGGCCCATGCAAGAGGGTGGGAAAAATTCAACCTCCGTGCTTTGTTCGTAAGCTAGAACAGGTAAATATCCTAAGCCAGAGAGAAAACGCTCCCCTCCACCAAAACAACTGGGTAAAGCTTTCACTCATAATAGACCTGAGCCCAGAATAAACCCAGTTCAGTTCTGCTTCTCTACAACATACAATTCCAGCTAAGAATAGGCATGTGCCCCACCATTGGCCCAAACCCCAGAAGCCTCTGCTACAGTCTGGAAGCTTATAGCTTTTAATTCAGTCAGATCAATCTACTCTGTGCTGGATGCCTCTGAGGAACGGAATGAGGCACCTGGCTCAGCTGATCTCATGCTCAGACCTTTCAAAAATCTGTGTCTCACAAGGCTAGTGAAACACAGCTAATGGATTAAAAACATTTGTGTAGTTTGGCTCAGCTGTTCAAGTCCCCAGATGCACTTTAACCAGGAAGAAAAACAGCTGCATATGAAGGGCTGGTGAAAGGTGATGCCAACACCCTGTTAAAAACCCAGGTTAAAGCCAATGACATTCCTGAATAATTCTTCATGTTCCACTGGGCACACTGTCCTAAGGGTGATCCTATGGCAAAAACTAACCTGGAGTGTTCCACACAGACTTCAAAAACTCCTTTGATGATGACAGCTTTTGAAAGACTTTTTGTAGAAGCAACATCTTTCACAAATGATATTTCTACCATTTCCTGACATTCCCAAATCCTATCTGGTAATTCCTACCTTGAATTTTGCACTAGCATACACAACCCTGAACAGACTGCAAAACTGCATTCTCTGTTCTTGCATCTGGCTTCCAAGTAAAGCAAGAATACAACTTTCACTACACATACAACACACACAATACACTTAAGTACAAGCTTATGATCTAGATGCACTTCCACAAAACACAAAGATACATCTAGAAATGACAACATGTTAAAGAAAAGCTAGGTCAACAATTAAAGCCTGTCATACAGGTCACACACACTAAATAAGCTAACCGTCACCTTTGAACTAACTGACATAATAAAATACAGTTCAATTATTCCTTTTCTGTCTAATGTGCCACCCAGAGGAGGAAAGAAAAATCTTAGGGCTGACACTAATCACACACAGTTTATAGAGCACATTTTACAGTGACGCAAGGCAAGTTATGCAGACGCTGGAGCCAGTCTGACTCCATCTCCAGCTTGAGGCCAGCAACAGTTGTAATAGCAGAAGGGTGGAGGTGCCATCTGGACTGCACTAATATTTTCAGCCGATACGTTTTACGAACATTTTGTTGGGGAACAAGACAAAGGAGACAAATTCTACCCTAGAGCGTGAAGCTTTGCATATCTGCACTAGAAGAGAAGACTACAGCAGACCAACCAGTAAATATTCAAGGGGGAGAGGAAGGAAAAAAAAAATTGACCGCTCCATCTGCCAAGATTTTTGGGTTAAGCACTGGCCTCAGCGCCCAGGGAGCCAGGGCTGAAGCGTCGGTACAGTCAGGCCCCAGTGGGGGCCCCGCTTCTCACCCGCTGCCAGACCTGGAGCATAGATGTTCTGATTTGTCCTGGGCTGGCCCTGCTTTTCTTGGGGAGGGTGACATGCCTCTTCTGGTGTGCTGAGGGTAGGATACTTGTAACAGATGTAATTGGTGTTTCTGGGTATTAAAGCTTGACAGCATCGCAGAATAGTTGTGGTTGGAAGGGACCTCTGGAGATCAACTGGTCCAACCCCCCTGCTCAAGCAGGGTCACCTAGAGCAGGTTGCCCAGGACTGTGTCTCATTGGGTTTTCAGTATCTCCAAGGAGAGAGACTCCAGAGCCTGCCCACAGGATCTGTAGAGCGTTCAACTGCCCTCGCAGTAAAGTGTTTTCTTGTGTTTAGGTGGAATGTCCTGTGTTTCAGTTTGTGCCCTTTGACTAAGGCCGTATCAATAGACAAGGAAAAAAAAGATGCAGCACATTTGGGGTTATTTAAAAAGGCTTTGGCCCTAGGCGGGTGCAAGCACATCTGTGCAGGGGAACTCTTCCCATTATCCCTCTGCACTTTTAACACTCAACAATCACCTGCATCGATCTCTACGCTTTACAGCAAGCAGCTAGCTTTTCTGCATAGGACTGTCCAGTACCCTTGCACTGGATAACATAGAAATTTATATTCAAAAGGTCACTTAATCTTATGTCATATATGCAACAGATGATTAGATTTCACCCTGGTAATGCCCACATCAAACCCAGTCACTTGTTTTGGACTAGTCTCCAGAAATGCCTCCAGCCTTGAAGACTCCCAGAGGTGGAGAGCACACATTTGCTCAAGCATCCGTTCTAATGCTTAATCTCCCTGTTACAGTCCTTCGCCTTGCCTCCAAGCTAGATTTCACCTGCCAAATACTACAACTTGTTCTCTTTCCATATACTGAAGAACCCGAGGACTTTTCTCCTCTGACATGTGTAGCTTTGAGGAAATAGAAGTGACTGACTTTCAGTGAGAGCCTGAAAGAACAGAAGTCTCAAGCCACTGACTTCTGTTGACTCCCAAACTCTCTGTGACTGAGCCCTTTTAAAAAGGATGCATATAAAAAACAGATGCAGTACTACAAATTCACCTCCCGAGAGCCAAACACATGGCAGACGATCCACCAGTATCTACATGCACCTCCTTAGACAGTGTTGGGAATCCCTCCACAGCACTACACTAGCATTCATGGGTGCTTATTCTGTATTGTCCTTCAATTTTCAGACTAAGCAGAGACAAGGAACAACCTTCTGGCTCTGAGTGTCACTTGCAAGGGACAACCAACAAGAGCCAGCCAGCCAGCCTCTCCTGTAACAACCAAAGGCCACCAGAGCCAGTACTATGCAAACGGCTGACAACCGACGCTCCCAGTTAAACAGAACAGCTCCAGACTACAGTACAGCTCACTCCAACAGCAGGGTCAGGTCTGGAAGATAGCTGTGCTCTGCACAGAGGCAGCCTTCGGTTTTAAACATTACTGAAGAACAGCCGCTGATTTCTAGGCTCAGGTGTCCTGCCCGGATCAGAGTTAGGAAACGCATTGGTTCTGTCTCACCCAAGCACAAAGCTGCCACTCACCGTACACCTACCTCAAGATGTAACAGATGGGGCAATAGTTTTCTCCCACACATCACCAGCACCCAAACTTCATCAGCTCCATTACAGTAACCCTCCCTGCAAACAGATTTTTAGCAACAACCATGCCTTAGATGGCACAGAAAAAAACAGCCCTTCAGTTGCTTTCCTGTGCCTCTAACCGTAATGCTATGACTAAAAGCTAAAGAAACCACTATGACTTGCACAGATTAATCAAGAACCACCCCAGGCCCCACATGATCTTAAAAATCACGAAAGTCCACCAAAGACAGAAACTAGCTCTTCAAATTAAACACACGTCACCTGAAAGGGCAAGAGATATTACAACCAGCAGCTCCAGCCAGGGCAGAGTCCAGCTCGCTAAGGAAGCACTGGAGAAATACTACTTCAGCTCTTCCAACAAGCTTTCCCAAGCGCAACAGTAAGGAGAGCAACATCGCTGATCAGCTTGCACCGAAGCCACGCTGCTGCCGAGCTTGAGAGAAGCAGGCTTATGTGACCCTGGCCGGATGTAAGGGTCAAGAGACTCACTGCAATACACCCAACTGGGAGCCAGGCTCCAGCAGGCAGCTTCCTCCCAGCAACGAGCACTGCATTTCATAACCTCAGGTCACAGTTCCTTGGCTACTTCTCCAAACACTGAGCCAGAAAGGAAAGGAGGCTCCCAACAGCATAAAAACTTTTCCAAGAGCCTCAACCTCGCCCCTTCAGGCTTCTAAGACAAAGCATTTCTTACAGCTCAGAATTAGCAAAACAGAGCTTTTCCAGGTGCATGAAAGACCAGCCATCAGACTGCCAGACAGAACAAAGTCAAAGGATTCAACTGTATCTCAACTCCCAGGAGAGAACTGCCCTCACGCATCCCACTTGCACGCTGCTGTGACCTGCAGCACGAACACAGCACTGACATATAGAGAGCTGGCCGCAGCAGAGGCAATAACTAAGGTGATGGGACCTGCAATCTCTGTTCCTTCAAAGGGCTCAGCTCCTTCTTAACCAAAGCCATTCTGATACGCTGCTGGTCTACAACTGGATGTGGGTAACTTCTTTTAACTCAAGAATTCAAACCTAAGGCATCGCTTTGAGGTCCTTGGAAGGGAATTCCTCTTCAGCCCCTTTTGAGACTCAGGAGATGCTCACGTACCCTGTTCACGTACCCTTCCATATTAATGGCTCTCTGACTCTTAAAACATAGCTGACTGCTAGTATGCTAGAGCTGGTGCCTCTGCAGCTCCTGGGAGGCCCGCTACTCTGGAACAGACAGCTTATACCTGTTGGGAACGCTACTAGCAGTCAGCGGGGAAGGGGACGCCTAGCCTGCTGTCAGTCTGAAAGCAAATTACAATGAACAGGCTCTAAGTGCTGTTGACAGCTAGGTGCTCCACCTGTCTCCTGGACAGCTCTAGGTGCTCCTCAGACTTTGGAGATCTCACAAGCCTGCAGAAGACAGCAGAAGACTGAATCATTTCCCATCATGGAATTCTTACTCAGCAGTCTTCACTGCTCCCTTAAGTCAGCATTTTCTCCCGGATTCTCTCCGTATTTGTACAGTGCAAGAGCAAGGAGCTAGCAAGCTGAATGCAAGAGCCCCACCTTCTGCCAACTGGAAAAACTGCTAAGAATGTAACCCCATGTCTGTTTTCAGATGGACAATGGTAAATAGTGACTTCTTCATACCCCAAGGTCAAAATCCCAAGGCACTAGTGAAATAAAAGTTAGTCAGAGTCCTTCAAATGAGCTGATAGGCTTGGGATGTCCCTTAGGCTATAGTGCAGCCACAGCCACATAGCAGTGCCAATTCAAGCAGTCCCCACCTTTCCTTCTTTCCCCGTTGTGCAAGGGAAAGCTTGTAGAGCCACACAGCGAACTCAGTTGGAAACTGATCCAGCCAATAACCATTTCTGCAAGGTTAGTTTCTAGCCAGATCAGTCCACTGATCTGGTTCACTGTGCAGCTGCAAAAGCTATTATGCTGTGAAAACAGGGAGCAAAAACTGTTTAAACTAGTTCAAGTGGCATTGCTGCTGCACATGTATAATGACAGCTTGAGAGGCTGGATCAGAAATAAATTGGGCTCAGCTCTGTTCCTATGGCAGCAGCACAGGGGGGAGAGTATATCAACTGGCAGAAAAGGAAATAATGACTCACCCACACTTCCCAGAAGCTGTGTCCTGCCCTCTGACAACAATACCCACAGGAATTCGGAGGTAGGGGGAAGTTCAGATAATGCTGCTGCACCAGGTCACTTTGTAAGAGCATCCCAATGAATTCTAATCTCATCTGGGGACTAATCCTCACCATTAGCTCAAAGGTCTGGAATGAAGGACTGTGCAACAGCCTGCTGCCTTTCAGGTACTTTGCAGTTTGGATACGCACTTTTTTTTGTGTATGATCTAGCCCTAGACTGCAGTTCAGATAACATATTATCCTGCAACAGCGAAACCAAAGAAGCTAGCAGATGATTACATGCACCCTCATAACTTAAAAACTTTAAAAAATTCTTGCAGTCCTACATTCAGAATGCAAACAAGTTACCATGGGTAGGGTGCTGCAGTCTGGCTGCAACCATCTGTTAACGCAACTACCGTGGCAATACAGCCGCAGACACTGTCAGGAGCGTGATCAAGTTCTAAGAATTGCCACTTGCTTCCTTGCTTGAACGCTGCGACGAAACAGCCTCTGCTCAGCAGTTCCAAGACAAGAATAGCTGCACTGGAAGAGCTCTGGGGAAACCAGAATAACAAAGCATTCGGGACGAGACCTGAAAGCCTCAAGGCAACAATGCAGTTGCTTAGTGAAATCAGGAGTTCTTCTCGTTTTAAGAAAAGGAAGTTACAACTTTCAGACTTGCTGTGAAGAGCCTACTGAGCGAGGGAAAACATCGCCATCCTTCCAGTCTGGACTTCTATTCAGAAAGGAACGATGAGCTCAGATACCGCGCACAAGAACCAAACCGCAGTCCTCACCCTCATTTCCCCAGCTGCCCTAAAGCGCTCCCTGCCTGCAGCGCTACGGGGAGAACAGGCTCTTTAGTTACTCCAACAAGGAAGGCGATCAGCCCTGAGGAAGTCACTTCCCGGTTCCTCATTTCAAAACTAGAAAGCATTTACGGAAAACCTGTCTGGGGACAAACGGGAGCGCTGGCACCTGCCCTCTCCGTGCAAGGCAGAAAGGACCCG